TTAATTTGACCAGAGAGGGACAGAGTGAGAGAAAGAGGGAAAGTGAGAAAGTAAGCCGCCATGTCCAGGACTGGAACTACAGTTGGCCATGTGGGAGTCCAGCGCCCATAACCACCATGCCACCTGCCGGCCCCACAAGCAGGTAAAGAGTACTTACTGGGAGAACCAGTGGTTATGTTGCCGGAATCCCACATGGCTGATCGTGGTTCAAATCCCAGACCTGGTGGCTTGAAAACCACATAGGGCACATGTGCAGGCGTACCCAAATTCCCGGGAGGCGAATGGAGACAGGATTTGGCACTGACATTCCCTCTGTGGGGGAGGGGATGATTTCTCACTTCCTTCTATCTCTCTGGTGAGCACTCACACCTGTGCCAAATTTTTAAAATGTATCATCTTTACTGAGGGCTCAATTATTGCCGCCCCTACGGGGTAAAAGAACTCATCTTCCCTCTTTTATAGTTGTTACATGAGGCTCAGAAAGTTTAAGTCACTTGCCCAAGGCCACATCATTGCTGTGTGTGAACTCAGAGTCTGTCTCGGGAGACACACTCTTGCTTTTTTTTTTGGAGAGGTTTTTGCTATAGGGCGCCTGCGCTCGCCAGACAGACAGAGAGAGACAGAAAGAGATAAACCACTCAACAGGGGGGATGGTCACGCTGCAATCCCTTCTCCATTCTCCTCTCGGGATCTTGGGCACGCACGCACATGCACCTGACGTGAGTTTAAGCCACCCGTCCGGAACTTAAACTGCGGTCGACTACATGGGAGTCCAACGACATAGCCATTACGCCATCTGCTGGTCCCAGGAGACACATTCTTAACCCCAACACTAGTGCACTTCTCTTAGTCTCCACCCTCAAGGAGCATCCACTTTTGAGGGGGAAAGGGGACATTAGACAATGGACACAAAGAATAAATTGGGCTGGACAGTGGTTCGGAGGGAGAACACAACACTCTGCAAGGCTGACCCACGTGTAGGACTCCGAGTCCCCATCCGGAGACCTGAGTGCATTAGGCACCCATATGCCTGTGGCCTGGGGTGGATGAAGCTGGGGGTGTGGTTGGTGGCATCAAGACCCTCTTGGGGATGCCTGTCTCTCTGACTCTATCTCTCTTATTCATAGAAGACATAAAACAACAACAACAACAAAAACAAACAAGAATCTGCACATCAGATCATTCTTCTGTTGTTCATTTGCTAGAACATGCGATCGCTGGGGAAAGGACAGTGAGCGAGAGAAGGGACGCGAGGGAACTTTCCCCAGTGGGAGATGGTCACACCACAATCCCTTCTCCATCTCTCCTTCAGAGGTTTTGGGCATGCACGCACACACCCATGCATGTCTTCAAGCATCTGGGTCTGGGAGGCAAACCACGGGGTCTGCCATATGAGATGCAGCCATCTTAACCAGCGTGCTGCTGGCCGGCCCTGCACATCGGATGTTTCTAGGAAGAATGCATTTGGTGGAGACAGACAGGGCCTGAAAACATAAGCGCCAACCCCTGGGCTGCAGGAGGCACAGAGAGCAGTCAGCAAGCTGAAACAAATAGAGGCCACCTGCTGGCATGGTGGTCAAGGTGGCTGGATCCCACATGGTGGACTGCATGGTTCGAGTCCTGGACCTAGTGGCTTAGAAAACATGCCGGGTGCCTGCATCTCTGAGTGTCCAAAATCCTGAAAGAAAGGAGAAATGGAGGAGACAGGATCGTGGCATGACCATTCCCAAGGCGGGGGTGCTTTCTCATTCTCACTCTCTGTCTCTGGTGAGCTCACACATCCTCTGGCAAGTTTAAAAAGAAAGAAAGAAGGCAGGCAGGTAGGCAGGCAGATAGGCAGGCAGGCAGGTAGAGAGCCGTTCCAGGGAAAGACTTTCTGGTGATGGGGAGGAACTCTCAGGAAAAGGACTGAGCTTTGAGCCAAGCTGATACATTAGCTCTGGGGCACTGTTCAGTGTAGATGGTGCCCCATGGGACTGCCCCCATGGGGGTGGCCACGCTGCAATCTCTTCTCCTTCACTCTCCTCTCAGGATTTTGGGCACACATGCACACGTGCCTGGCATGAGTTTTAAGCTGCCGGGTCCAGGACTTGAACCACAGTCAACTACATGGGAGTCCAGAGATGTAACCATTACTCTACCTGCTGGTCCCATTTTTCAGCAAGTATTACAGATAAAAAATTACTTTGTTGGTTTAGGAACTCCAAAGTATATTATAAGGATTGATTGTGTTATGTTTTTATCCTGCAAAACGAGAGTTTTGAGAGGGGAAAAATTCCCATCAAAAAACTGTCCCAGGGCCAGCCAGCAAGTAGCGTGATGGAGGCTCTGGACACTCCCACATGGCCAGTCACGGTGTAAGTCCCAGACCTGGTGGCTTGCATTCTCACTTTCCTTCTCTCTCCGTGTCTCTCTCTGGTCACATTAAAATAAATGAATGAATACAATTAAATAAATTTTTTTCTAAAAAGATTAAATTCACCATAAAAATAATACAAATTAAAAAAAAAAAAACAACCCTGCCCTTTGGGACCAGCAGGTGGTGTAGTGGTTAAGGTGCTGGACTCCCACATGGCTGACTGGATTTCGAGTCCTGGACCTGGGCTTCAAAGTCATACTGGGTGTGAGTAAGTGCATGCCCCAGGGGAGGAGAATGGAGGAGAAGGGACTGAGGCGTGGCCATGGCCCCTGGGGGGTGATTCCTTGCTTTCTCTGTCTCTCCAGCAACTGCATGTGCCCATAGCAAAAATCTCTCTAAAACAACAACCACAAAAACTGTCCCTTGAGCCACCCAGTGGCATGGAGGTACATGTGGTTGGATCCCACTTGGCCAACTGTGCAGCTTGAATCCTGGACTCAGAGGCTTGAAAAATCCCAACAGGATGGAGAAAAGGAAAAGGGACTGCAATGTGACCACACCCCACGGCAGTGTCGGGGGTGCTTTCTCCCTCTCTTTCTCTCTCTGGCAAGCACATGTGTCCTCTGGCGGCGAAGAAAAGTAAAAGATTAAAAACTACGTCCCCACAATTTTCTTGAAATGACCTATGTGTGGTTTTCCACATGGGCACATCTGTACCTCCCGGACCGGGCTTTGGTAAGGATGATGAGGCCCTTCACTACCCCCAGGAGAGCTTCTGAGGATTAAACCCTGGAATAAAATGCAATTCCACAGAGTCTCCTTTAGTCCTCATGGCCACAGCGAGTGGGCAGACCTTGCCCCCATTTTCAGATGAGGAAACAGTTACAGAAATGTGAAGAGGCATGTGTGGGCAGTGCCCATGCCCTGCGGGAGCCTCACACCCTCCCAGGGCCTGCAACTCCTTTGCAAAGGGGGAGGATGAACCGAAGTTTCCTTCACTCCCCCAGGCCTGAGAACAGGGTGCTCAGACCCTGGGCTATACCTAGCTCAGGGCACACAGAGAAAGAGTGGGATGGGGGGCTGTGACCGGCCCGGACTTTCACCCTTAGATCAGGCCAATGGAACCTAGAACAGGCCCAGCAACACCTGGGTGGGGAGTGGCACGAGGGTGGGGGAGGTGAGACTCAGAGAGGGAAGAGGGAGAACACAGACTGCTTTGGAGAAGGAGTGTGAGTAGGTGGGGACTCGGGTTCCGGAGTTGGAGTCCTGCTCCTGTGCCAGCTCCTGGTAGTGTCCTTGAAGGGTACCCATGTTAGTTGGCACCCTACCTCCAATACCAATCTGCCCCTCATCTTCCCTGCCCTTAGAGCAAGTCCCACAGGGTCAACTCCTCCTCAGCTCCCCTGCCCCTCCCAGGGTCCTGCTTCAGCGTCTCTTGAAGGGCCCGAGGATGCCTCCTGGCCTCAGACCCAACTCTGCGCAAGAGGTCAGCCTTCATGGCCTTGGGGATCATTTGTGGAGGGGATTTCAGAGACCCAGATTTCTTCAGCTCCCCCGGCAGGAACGGGAATGTCTCCAGCCCCTCCTGGGTCCTCCCTATTCTCCCCGCTTCCATTTCATCTGGCCTCATAGAGAAGAACACATGTACCGGCCAAGGGCCCAGGTCCCTGGGGACACAGGTGCCAGGCCAGAGGGGAACCTCTTTGGCCTTCCGTCTCCTCTAGGCAGGTCCCCCAGAATCATGACACTAGGGCCGCATGAGGTCAGTCATAGTTTCAGTCTCTGCTCTCTGCAAGGCCCAGGTTGTTTACACCCGACACAGCAGTGGAGGTTGGGCAGGATGGGCTGTCTGTGTACAGTGACAACAGGCTTGAGTGTGGGGAAAAGCCCCCCAGCAGACCGTATTTGCTCATAAACACCGTGCTTCACATCCCAGGGCAGGGAAGGGGCAGAGACCAGCCCCACCAGAGCTCTTGGACTGTCCTTGAAGGGGGTGCTCCCAGCATACCTCCCCTCTCCACTTGGCCCTCCCCCCCGGGGGGGGATGTTTCCACAACAAGCTGGGCTGTGTTCTGTAAACTCTAGCCCCTACCCAGGAGCCCCCAGCCAGAGGACAGGTGTCCTGCCACCACTGCCCGCACGCCTCTGTGTGTGCGTGTGGTTAGGCAGAGGAGGGAGGACAGTAGGGAGCAAAGGCCTTCCCTGGGTCCATGTGATGCTGTGTGTCCACTCATCCTGTCCCCTAGACTGGACAGGATCCTCCACGGGGCCATGTGGGGACTGGGCCCAGGCACCTCCAGGACTCTGCATGGCTATGGGTCTGGGGCCAGTCTTGGAGCCTGAGGGTGCCCCTCACAGTCCCTGTGCCTCTTGGGGACCAGCAGGGGAGTGGATGTTCACCCCTGTGATTTGTTTTGCTGTACTCTTATCTCCTTTCCAAGCTAAGGATCAGTGGGGAACCTTGGGGACTCCAGCCTTGACCCACCCTCCTCCCTGAAGCCAGGCTGCCCAGCAGGTCCTGACTTTCCTAGAGCCCTGGGTGCTCAGCCAATAAGAAGCCCCAGGCCTGCCCCGCCCTTTTGCAGGTCCCTTCTGTGTATAAAGGCTGGGGCTGTGGGTGGGAGGCACGGCAGGTCCAGCCCACCCTGCCCGAGCAGTCCCACAGGCGCCCTGCTCACTTCCCAGGATGCTGTTCTGGCACAACCAGCCAGAGCACCTGTGGCCCAGTCCTGGGGAACTGTACCCAGGTCCCCCCGGCAGCCTGCTCAGGTAAGGGGCAGATCCCTCTGACCCCCTCCCCAGGAAGACCCAGTCTGAAGTTGGGGCAGATGTGGCAGGGCCGTATGTTTCAAGCCGTGGGGAACAAAGTCTCCACTCTGGGCTCCTTTGGAGGTGGGAAGCAGGCAGGTGTGCTGGGAGCCTCGTGGGTCCTGGAACGTCTAGAAACACCCCATCACCTGCCGTGTGGATGTTTGGTTGCGCACCAGGCGAGCCCTGAGGAGAACAGAAGGTGGCTACTCGGCACAGTAGCCACTAGCCTGGGGGTAGCACTCTTAAGGAGGTCTCCTGGAGGCCTGAGGTGCTGAATGGAGCCCCAGGTCCTGGTGCTGCTGTGTTATCTGCTACCGGAAGCTGTGAGTTCCCTGCAGGGAGGATCCGGCACAGAGAGGCAAGGCCCCTGGGGGGCTGGGATGGACAGGGCAGAAAGCTGCAGAGCCTTGCTCTTCCTGGCAGGGAGCCCCTGCCCTTGTCCTACTTGAAGCAGGAAGAGCTGCCTAGCCTCCCCAGCGCAGCGCCGCCCTGCTCCGGGTTCCAATACGTGCTCTGTGCAGCCACCTCACCGGCTGTAAAGCGGCAGGAAGAGACCCTCACCTACCTGAACCAGGGTACGGGGCCTGGGGAAGGGTGGCTACTGGGCACAAGTTCTGGGAGCTGGTACAAGCTGGGCTGTGGGTGGCAGGTGCCACTCTGCCCTCAGACCAGGGCTCACACATCCCCTGAACTCCCAGGCCAGTCGTATGAGGTGCGGATGATCTGCAACCCCAAGCTGGGAGACGTCACTCAGTGTCCCCGTCTGCTGAAGGTAGGAGCACCCCTCCCCAGAACTGGCAAGAGCTGGTTAGGATAGTCCTTCTGGGCAAGAACCCAACAGCATCACTGTGATGTCCTTGTCAAGCAGAACCTTCTCAAGTCCCTCATTTCATTTGACTCCCACGGCAGCTCAAGCGGTGGGCAGGAGCTGTTGAGGAAGCAGATACAGAGAGGTTAAGTGCTTTCTCAAGGACACAGCCAGTAAATAGGAGAACTGAGTTAGACGTACATTTTCTTTTCTTTCTTTTTCTTTTTTTTTAGGAATTATTTTATTTGGGACCAGCAGTTAGTGTAATGGCTATGTCTCTGGACTCCCATGTAGTCGACTACAGTTCGTGTCCCAGACCTGGTGGCTTAAAACTCACGCCGGGTGTGCGTGCGTGCCCAAGATCCGGAGAGGAGAATGTAGGAGAAGGGATTGTGACATGGCCATCCCCCCGGGGGGTGATTTCTCGCTTTCTGTCTCTCTGTCTCTCCCTGTCTGGCGAGCGCATGTGCCCTATAGCAAAAATCTCTTCAAAAAAAAAAAAAAAAGGAGAAGTATTGTATTTAACTTTATTTATTTTTAATTTGGCCAAAGAGGGACAGAGTGAGAAAGCAAACTTCTAGGTCTGGGATTGAACTGTGGTCGGCCATGTGGGTGTCCAGTGTTCTTAACCACCATGCCACCTGCTGGCCCCCAGAAACACATTTTCACAATGTTATTCACATACCTGAGGTTTTCTCAGAAAGTTCTCTTTAGCCTCTATTCTTTTTTTTTGTTTGTTTTTTAATAATTATTTTATTCCTGCCAGCCCCTCTTTAGCCCCTATTCTATGCCAGAAAATGTTCTATGAGCTAGGGATTGAGAAGTAAAGAGAGCTGCAGTTCTCTCTCTCAAGAGGCTTGCATTCTTTCTTTTTTTCTAAAAGAATTATTTTTATTAACTTATTTATTTATTCATTTTAATTTGACCAGAGAGGGACAGGGCGAGAGAGGGAGATTGAGAGGGAAAGTGAGAAAGCAAGTTGTCAAGTCCAGGACTTGAACTGCGGTCAGCCATGCCAGCGCCCTTAACCACCATGCCACCCGTTGGCCCCAGAGGCTTGCATTCTCTTAAGACACACGAGTAATCTCTCACACGTGGCAATCACAGTGATGTGCACTGCAAAGAAGAGGGTAGAGTGACTAAGGGGGAGAGTAGAAATGCCCCTGTTTCAGACCAGTGGGGGAGCAGCGGTTAAGGCTCTGGCTCGCACACAGCCAACCGCAGTGTGAGTCCTAGACCTAGCAGCTTGAAACTCACGCTGGCTGGATGTGCGTGCGTGCCCAAAATCTTGAGGAGAATGGAGAAGAAGGCATTGTGGAGTGGCCATCCCCTGGGGACGATCTCTCAATTTCTGTCTCTCCATCTTTCTCTGTCTCTCCGGTGAGTGCATACGCCCTGTAACAACAACAACAAAAAACCAAACCTCTCTTCAAAAACAGATAAATAAATAAATAATAAACACCCCCATTTAACAGATTAAAAAACCGAGGCTCAAGGTCTCTAGATTACCTCTCCAATTTCACATCTGGAGAGTGGCCTCTGGCCACAGATGTAGGGATTCTAAGTCCTCACACTTCCAGGAGAGAGGGGCAGGCTGGTCTACCCGGGTGTGGGGACTCGTTCCCAGAGCCCCGGCACCCCGACCTGCAAGCCCACCTTCCTTCCGCAGAGCGTGGTGCGTGTCGTGTTCCACGACCGGCACCTGCAGTACACCGAGCAGCAGCAGCTGGATGGGTGGAGGTGGAGCCGGCCTGGGGACCGGATTCTGGACATCGGTGAGGAGGGAGGGACTAGGGACCCTTCGTGTCCACTGCTGGCTCGGAAGTCCTCGTGGACGGGGAAGGCTGAGCCTGGCTCTGTGCCTGCAGACGTGCCACTGTCTGTGGGAGTGACGGAACCCCAGGTGCTGCCCTCGCAGCTCAACACGGTGGAGTTTCACTGGGACCCGACCAAGAGGACGTCCCTCTTCCTGCAGGTGAGTCTGAGGCTGGGGTTGGGAGGAGGCTGGAGGTCAGGTGGGGGTGGTGGCAGGGTAGGTGGGAAAGGATGGTGAGTTCAGGTGGGGGTAAAGGGATGATAATGATGAGTCACTGCCAGAAAGTGCCTTGAAGAAAAAATACAGATGTTTACCACATCTCAAGATGGGGAAGAACTTGTTAAGCATTAAAACAATGGAATAAACTATGAAACACAAGGCAGAATTTAGTTTCATGAAAAAAATAGTGGTTTGAAATACATAAGCAAAATTGACTTATTCATTAATTGTAGTTGCAAGAGGGTTTGTGCACTCCTGGTGGGAGTTGGGGTGTGGGGGAGATAGCATTCCCAGTGGAGTGTGGTCACGCCACCATCCTTTCTCCTTCATTTCTCAGTCAGGGTTTCGGGCGTACATGCATACGGGCTGGCTTGTTTGCCACGGTGCTGGGGATGGGATTTTCCTGTGGTCGGCTATTTGGGATCCAGCTCCCACATGCACAGTGCTTAATGCTGTTACTGGGCTGGCCCCAGGTGCAAATTTAAAAGGAAACATCAAGGACCAGCCAGTAGTGGGGTGGTTAAGGTGGCTGGATCCTACAGGGCTGACTATGCAGTCTGAACCCTGGGCCTGGCAGCTTGAGAAACACACTGGCTGCATGTGTGTATGTACCCAAAATATTGAGAGAAGCATGGAGGAGAAGGGGTTGCAGCATGGTCATCCCTTCTGGGGACTTCTTTCTCACCTTCCTTCCCTATCTCTGACTCCCCATCTCTCTCTAGTAAGTGTACATGGCCCTATAGCAAATGGAAAAAAAAATCAAATGAAAAAAATACTTGCCACACGTGACATACGTTGCTATACCCCTAGTAGACAGAGTTCTTGTGTATGAATGAGAGAGTAGATGAAGGCACAATAGGCAATTAGGTAAAGGAGATGAGCAGCTTACATGAGAAGGATACAGACTGCCGATAAATACAGACAGTTCAAGTCCAGCCAGAGAAATTCTAATAAACATTAGAACCTGTGGGCCAGCTCCGTGGCCCAGGGGGAATGTGCTGCTTAAAGAAGCCGGATATCCAGGGCCAGCAGGTGGTGTGGTGGCTAAGGCAGCTGGACCCCACGTGACCAACTCTGTGGTTGAATCCTGGACCCAGGGGCTTGAAAAACATGCCAGGTGAAGTGGGCTATTAGTTCTCTCTTTCCCCCTCCCTCTGTCTCACTGGCAAGCACATGTGCACTGTGACCAAAAAAAAAAAAAAAAAAGCCAGATCCTACATGGCAACCACGGTTCAAATTCCCCAGCGTGGTCAGACTGAAACACACTGGGCAGGCACTTGGGCACCCAAGATCTGATGGGTTGGAGGGCTGGAAGGGGAAGGCGGTGTGACCAGACCCAGTGGAGGGTGCTCATTGCTCGCTCGCTCACACATGTGCTCTATCCTGAATAAAAAGAAAAAGAAAATGATGGTATGCGCGGGCCGGGCCCCCGTGGCATAGGTGGCAGTGTGCTGAAATGCCTGCTGGAAGCCGCATGGCCAACTGCAGGCTTGGGAGTCTAGTCAACCTGGCACACATGGGCACTCAAGAGCCTGACAAGTTGGAGGGCTGGGGAAATGTGCGAAGACCCCGCTCAGAGTTCAAGATTGCCTGTCTCTCTCGCGTGTGCATATGGGTTCTCTATCATGAATAAAAATATAAACAAATGAAAAAGATTACATACATATATATATATATATATATATATAAAACCTTCAAAGACTTAAAAAAATAGACCATTATTGGAAAGAGAATCAGATACGCTTTCGTCCTGAGAATGCAAGCTGATTTCACGCAATAGGTAGGATGGCACTTAAACTTGTTAAATTTACAGCCAGCCCTGTGGCCTGGTGGGAGCTGTTTTTTTTTTTTTTTAATAATTTTTTACTTAATTTTTATTTATTAATTCATTTATTTTTATTTTGACCAGAAAGAGACACAGAAAGAAAGGGTGAGAAAGCAAGCCACCAGGTCCGGGACTCAAACCATGATCAGCCATGTGGGAGTGTCCAGCGCCTAAACCACCATGACTCCTGCTGGTCCTCGGAGGTGGTTTTGATATGGTCAACTGTATAGCTCAAGTTCCAGCTCTGGTGGCTTAGAAGGCTTGCCGGGTGCATGTGGGTGCAAAACCTTGATGGGATAGAGAAACAGAGGAAAGAGAACTGCAGTATGACTACGCACCAGTGGGGAAATGGTTTCTCTCTCTTTCTGGGGAGTTTATGTGCCCTCTAGCAATTAATAAAAAATAAAAGAAGGTTGACTTTTTTCTTCTTTCAGTGTTTTTGTAGTGCATGCACTCACCAGAGAGAGGCAGGGAGAGAGAGAGGGAAAGTGAGAAAGCACCCTTCAGGGGGGTGGCCAAGCGACAACCCATTTTCCTCCATTCTCCTCTCTGGATTTTGGCCATGCACACATGCCCGGTGTTTCTCAAGCCTCTGGGTCTAGGACTCAAACCACTTAGTCAGCCATGTGAGATCCAGTTGTCTTAATCACCACACCACTGACTGGTCCAGACTTTAAATAAATGATAATACAAGCATACAATGAAAATTACATAGCCATTAAAATGTCATCTCTGAAAAATATTTTCGCAAGGAAAACTGCTTTCTTGTAAGAAAAGGTAGATTATGGGGGCCAGCAGTTAGCGTAATGGCTATGTCACTGGACTCCCATGTAGTCGACCGCGATTCGATTCCCATACCCAATGGCTTAAACTCACACTGGGCACATGTGTGTGTGCCCAAGATCCCGAGAGGAGAATGGAGAAGGGATTGCGGGATGGCCACCCCTCTGGGGAGTGATTTCTTTCTGTCTCTTGTCTTTCTGGCAAGCACATGCGCCCGATAGCAAAAAACCTCTATAGCAAAAAACATCCCAAAAAAAAAAAAAAAAAAAGCCAGCAGATTATGAACTTGAATTTAAATTTTGATTACCATTTTGTATGTATGTATATATATACATATATATGTGTATATATGTGTGTGTATATGTATATGTATGTGTGTGCATGTATATATATGAGATTTCTGCCTTAGGGCATGTGCACTCACCAAAGAGACAGAGACAGTGAGAGAGAAAGTGAGAAATCACCCCCCAGGGGCAATGGCCATGCTGCAATCCTTCTCCTCCATTCTCCTTCTGGGATCTTGGGCACACACACACACGCGCACGCGCACTCACTTGGCTTGAGTTCAAGCCACCAGGTCCGGGACTCAAACCATGGTCAGCCATATGGGAGTCTAGCGACATAACCACTATGACATAACCACTGCTGCTGGCTCCTGTCCATATTTTTCTATTGCTCAGAGAAGGTAGGAAGAAACACCACTTGCACGCTAACAGTAGTTCTCTCCGATTAGTGGGGAGATGGGACACCCCTGCATTTTTACCTTTTCAGTGTTCTTCACTCTTTCTACACTGAATACATTTCTCTTCATAATTGAATAATACAGGCCCATAGTTCTTATTTTTTAGAGCTCACCCTGGTCTAGGCACCTGGACTAGGACTTGGGCAGATGTGATACAATCCCAGTTCTACCACTTCCTAGCGTAGGCCATGTCTAGGGCCCATAATCCCTGCAAACTTTAGCATCCTCATTGTTAAATTTGGCCCTTTAACTGTTCTTCATAGGATTGTAGGAGGGCTGCAGGAGGAAGCCCAAGGTGTGAATGAAGACTTTGTTTGCCCTTAGTCTTCCAGGCAGAAGAGACCACAGGCTGTATGAAATGGTGGGCCAGGAAGACTTCCTGGAGGAGATTGACAGAATTAACAAATAAAATATAGGACTCTCACTTAAGTTGGAGTTTTAGATAAATAATTTTTTAGTGTAAGTACGTCCCATGCAATACTTGGGCTATACTTACGTTAAAATTTATTTATTGTGTGGGGCCAGGAGGTAGCTTGGTGATTGGGGCCCTGGATTCCCACATGATTGACTGCAGTTCAAGTCCTGGACCTGGCGGCTTGGAAAAATCACAGCAAGGGGGCCAGCAGGCGGCACAGTGGCTAAGGAGCTGGACATTCCCATATGGCCAACCATGGTTCAAGTCCTAGACCTGGTGGCTTGCTTTCTCACTTTCTCTGTCTTTTTCTGGTCAAATTAAAATAAATGAATGAATAAATATATTAAATAAATAATTCTTTAAAAAAGAAAAGAAAAGAAAATCATAGCAAATAAGGGACCACAGGTAGCATGGTGGTTAAGGGTGCTGGACTTCCACATGGTTGACCTCGGTTCAAGTCCCAGACCTGGTGGCTTGCTTTCTCACTTTCCCTCTCTCTCTCTCTTTCTTTCACTCTGTCCCTCACTGGTCAAATTAAAAATATGTTAAAAAAAAAGTTCAATACAATAATTTTTAAAAATGTAGATGTGAATTCTTTAAAAAAAATTATTTGTTGGGGACCAGCAGGTGGTGTGGTGATTGAGGCGCTGGACTCCCAAATGGCCAACCATGGTTCTAATCTTGGACCTGATGGCTTGTTTTCTCCCTTTTTCTCTTTCTCTCTGTCTCTCTCTGGTGAATTGAAAAAAAAAAAAAAGTAAAATTAAATAATTCTTAAAAAATTTTGTTGTGTATGTGAAATTCAAATTTAATTAGGCATATTATACACACACGTGTGTGTATAAATATATATATTATATATATAATTTTTTTTTTTTTTGGTAGAGGTTTTTGCCTTAGGGTATATCTGCTTGCCAGGGAGAGAGAGACACACACAGTGACAGGGAAAGTGAAAAATTACCCCTCAGGGGAGATGGCCACACCACAGTCCCTTCTCCATTCTCCTCTTGGGATCTTGAGTATACCCGCACACACACATGCACATGCACCTGGTGTGAGTTTCAAGCCACTGGATCCGGGACTCAAACCGCAGTCAGCCATGTGGGAGTCCAGCAATGTAACTGCTATGCCATCTGCTGGCCCCAAATTGGGCATATTTTATTTTATCTGGTCACTCTATACTTTCAGAGGCTGTCTTGGCTCAGGTGTAAGTAGGGCAAGCATTTGGGAAGAGGCCTCGCGAGAGAACATCCAGGTGTGCTGGGGTCCTGATTAGGCTTGGTGGGTGGGCCAGAGGGAGAGAAGCTGCAGCTGGGCTTGACTTGACTCTTTAAGGCAGTCAAATGCCAGGGTTGGGAACTTTGCTTCTTATCTCATAGCCATGGGGAGGCTTTAAGAGTAGACCTGACTGGGAATGGCAAGTTGCCGTCGTGTCTGACAGGTGACAGCTGTGGAACAAGAGGTTTTGGGTGGAATCCCTCGAACGTGAGCGGCACTTGCAGTCAGCCTGCTTTGTCTTTGCTTCTTCTCCATCCCAGGTTCACTGCATCAGCACTGAGTTCACACTTCGGAAGAAAGGTGGAGAGAAAGGCGTCCCCTTTCGCCTCCAGGTAGATACCTTCAAACCCAGTGACAAGGGGCTTCCACCCGAGCATCTGCATTCCGCCGGCTGCCTCATCAAGGTGTTCAAGGTACAGGTAGCACTGGGGGCCCTTTCCTCCCTGCCAGGCCTTAGCCCTGTCTTGCTGGTGTGTGGATTCTGGCCCTGCTCGGCTGTAACACTCTCAGCCTGCTGTGCCGTCTTTTCTGCGCATAGAAGCGTGGGGCTTGTGCTCTTTCTTGGAACCCATCCATCAGAGCCTCCTAAAGGGAGGTGGGAAAGTGAAGAAGGGGCCTCTGAGCCTTTCCTGTCACCCCCTTGTAGCCTAAAGGAGCTGACCGGAAGCTGAAAACTGACCGGGAGAAGATCGAGAAGCAACCCCTGCATGAGAGAGAGAAGTATCAGATGGCCTGTGAGAGCACAGTCTTCTCAGAGGTAGGGGTGTGTATGACGGAAGGGGGGCTGCACAGGAGCGGGAGGGGGAGGTCTGGAGAACAGGCCTCACTGCACAGATGGGGAAATCAGTACAGCACCCAGTGATTCCACTCATTTCCTGCAGAGAATGGCCTCTACCCTGTCTGTTGCTCAAAGCTTCTAAGAGCTGTTGCCTTCCAGGCTACCTCTCTTGTGCCATGCTGTGGCCGCCACCTCACTCCTGAGGGCACTGCGCCTCCTGCCTGGGGCACCTCCCTTCCTGCTGCTGCTTCTCCAGGCTGGCTCCTCTAGGGAGCCTTCCCCAACTCCCCAGACCTGCCCGCTAGTGTAGACCTTCCTTCATGCAGAGACTCCATCTGCCTGTCAAGCCCTAGGCTGGCCGGCCATCAGCTCTCGGTAGACAGATGGAGGGAGGTGAGCGGCCAGCCATCACCGCCCTCGGGGTGTCCAGGCTGACCTTGCCGCTTGTTTGTGCACAGTGCTCGCCGTGGCCAGAGCCCACTGCAGGACCCCACCCGCCTCTCAGCCCTCTTGCTCTGACCTCCCCCCATGCCTGCAAGCTCCTGTCCCCAGAGAGGTGAGGAGGGATGGGCCCCTTCTGTTGGCCTTTTGGGGTGGAGGTCCTGAGCCCCGGCACTGGGAAGACGACAGGGTGGAAGGTGCCACTGAAGGTTGGCTAGAATGCGTGGGGTAAGGGGAGCGTGGGCCAGCTCTGGATCCTAGGGAGCCGGGGTGGGGAGACTGGCTGCACTGCTCCGCAGACGCCAGAACCTCTGCTCCTCCTTATAGGCTCTGTTCTTCACCACCATTCGCTTTGGACACCTTGGGGTGCAGCCCAGCAGAGGTGAGTCTTTCTGGCTTCCAAATACTGTTGCGAAGCTCGCTGTGGCTTCCTCTCCCCAGAATAGGGCGGCTTTGCCCCCTGGTGGCAAGATGTAGCACGGCCACAGATTGGACCTCTCCTGCTAGGACTGAGCAGTAGTTGCCTCTTAGACGTGGGAGGGCTCCAGGGAGGAACTGTTTCCTGGCCCCCTTATCTAGGTCCATGGGCCCATAGTATTACCTGGACCACCCTCTTTACACCTCAGGATCTGAGCCCTGGAGCCTCCATCTCAGAGACACAGCAGTGGCTGCACCGGCACCGGTTCTCCAGCTACTGTCGGATACTGGCCAACTTCACTGGTGAGGCTGGCATCTGGCAGGGATCACCCTGGAAGGCCTGTGGGGAGACAGGCAGGCAAGAAACCTGTCTCTACTGCAGCTTCACCTACCCTTCACTGAGGACGGTTACCTGACACTGGGCTAGGCCTTTTTCTCCTGTATTAAAAGGAAGAAATCAAACTGCCAGGTCCGGGACTCAAACCATGGTCAGCCATTGGGAGTCCAGCTGCCTTAACCACCATGCCACAGGCTGGGACCATAACCTTTTTTTTTGACGTAGCCATTAAGCTAACTGCTGGTTCCCTGCTTTTTATGTTTTTAAAAATTGTTTTTCAGGGAGCATAATCTTTTAATTTTGATTAATCCAATTATTCAACTGTTTCTTTCATGGTCAGTAATTTCTATTTCTGTCTAAGAATACTTTTTTTGAGAAGTTTTTGCTATAGAGTACGTGCACTTGCCAGAAAGACAGAGACAAAGAGACAGAAAGCGAGAAATCACCCCCCAGGGAGGATGGCCACACTGCAATCCCTTTTCCTCCATTCTCCTCTTGGGATCTTGGACACACACGCACATGCACCTGGTGTGAGTTTAAGCTGCCAGGTCTGGGACTCAAACTGCGGTCGACTACGTGGGAGTCCAGCGACATAGCCATTACGCTAACTGCTGCCCCCCTGGCCCTATACTACTTCTTGAGAGGGCTTAGAAAAGTTGAGTAACTTGCCCAAGGACACACAGCTAGCAAGTGGCAGAACTGGGATTTGAATCCAAGTCTGACTCCCATCTGGGCACACCACGGCTGTATACAGACCAATGGATTGTGTCCCTTGACTCCTCTCTTGGTCCCAGGCCTCCCTCTAACCTGGCCCTGTGTGACTCTGCAGGCACTGATCTGCTGAAGCTTAATCGCCAGGACCTTATCCAGATCTGTGGGGCTGCTGATGGGATCCGCCTTTTCAATACTCTTAGAGCCAGGTACCAGGCACTGCCAACCAGGGTCCCCTTCCCATGGTAGTTGTCCTAACTTAGCCTAGTAGGTGTGTTTCTAAGACTGTTTGAGCAAGAAGGCGCTTAGTCCCACTATTTTTATTTATTTATTTTTTAGGTTTTTGCTATAGGTCCCTATGCTTGCTGGGGAGAGGCAGAGACAGAGAGGGAAAATGAGAAATCACTCCCCAGGGGAGATGGCCACACCACAATCCCTTCTCCTCCGTTCTCCTCTTGGGATTTTAGGCACACACACATGCGGGCACGTGCACTGGTGTGATTTTTCAAGCCACTGGTCCAGACTCGAACCACGGGGTGGTCTAGTGCTTTAATCTCCGTACCACTTGCTCTCCCCATGCCATTTTTACAGAGATTACAACTCAGGCCTAATGACAGTGTCCAGCCTGAGGTCACATAGCACAGCTAGTAGGGCTGGGCTGAAAAGTAGGCTCCTGCCTTTTTTGTGGACATCCCACCCACATCAGTTCTGGGCCAGGCATGGGGTTTTCTCACCTCTTCTCCCCGCAAGGTCTATCATTTAAGTGCCTAAGAATTGCTTAGTGACCTTTCTCCCTAAGATCTAGGAGGCAAGGTCTCTCCAGGGATGAGGGACTAGGGGATCAGCTGAGTGGGCCGAGGTTCAAAGGGCTGACAGACTGTTTCTTGGCCCAGGCCAATCCGCCACAGGCTGACTCTGTACGTGGCTCAGGAGGCCTCCAGACAAGAGAGCGAGCTTCCTGAGAACCCCAACTCCAACTCAGGTGAAGTACTGGCCTCTTTCCAGAAGACAAGAAATGCAGGTGTTGGCTACATGAAATCTTGTCTGGCCTGGGGCGAGGATGATGGCCCATCATTCCTGGGACCCAAGATGCCCTCCTTGGCATTTGCCTTCCTTCCTATGACCAGATCACAGTCTATTCCTCCAGGATATCTCCTTGGGTTTATTCCACAATGTCCTATTCCTCTGTCCACATCTGATTTCGGCACTCTATTAGTATGTGTTAGAGCATTATAATTTTGTTATTGTACTTGGGTTTCACTCACTCATATGTAGGTGTCTTACCTCTTTAAACTGGGGCCTCCCAAAGGTGAAGAATGAAGTTAAGTAGATTATACACTTTTTTCCTTCTTTACTTCTCCCCTACCCCATGAAGTTGCTACCCTGACCCCTGCTCACTCCAGGCATGACCATCCCTTTGGCTTCCCTGGTTCCCTCTGGGCTGATCTCTGGGCCCCTTCCCCACACTGACCCCTGCCTCTATGCTGCCCATACTCCCAGGCTTTTATCAAGAGATCTCTCTAGATGAACTCAGTGCTGTAGAGCTGATGGGGAAACTTGCTGAGCTCCTGGCCCTTCCAACCGATCAGATCCATCGCCTTTTCCACCAGGGCCCTGGGGGCATCCTCATTCTCCTCAGTGACCAGGTAAAAGGGCAGTACACTGCCACATGCCCCCTCAAGGGCTTGACTTCTTCATCCTTGGATACAGCTTCTTTCCCCCCATTTGGCTTATTCTGTTTGGCTCAGAAAACAACATTGTGGGGTCGGCAGGTGGCATGGTGAAGGGTGTTAGACTCCCACATGGCCTACCACAGTTTGATTACCCACCCTCTCTGGTCAAATTAAAATAAATATTAAATAAAATTATTCTTTTTAGAAAAAAGAATTATTTTACTTATTGTCATTATTTATTTTTTTTATTTTATTGAAGTTGACCAGAGACAGAGAGATGGAAAGCGAGAAAGCAAATCACCAGGTCCAGGACCTCAACTATGGTCAGCCATGTGGGAGTCCAGTCACCCTAACCACCGCACCACCTGCCGGCCCCAATAAAACAATTCTTAAAAAAAAATTAAAAAAACAAAACAGCATTGTGTTTGTGACTCGTCCGCCCTTACAGATGGTCCAGAATCTTAAGGATGAATCGTACTTTGTGGCCGTGGTGAAGAAAGGTATTTTTAAAAATTATTTTATTTTGTGTATTCATTCATCTTACTTTAATTTGATCAGAGAGAAACAGCGAAAGTGAGAAAGCAAGCCGCTGGGTCCAGGACTCAAACCATGGTCAGTCACGTGGGCATGTCTAGCACCTTAATTAGCATGCCACTTGCTGGTCCCCCAAGAAAAGTATGGTTTTAGGAGGAAAGGAGTACATCTGGCTGGACCTAAGACTGTTTAATAGTCTCAAAGGGAGAATGGAGGGGAAGGGAAAGCAGGGTGACCATCTCTCTCTGGGAAGATGCTTTCTCACTCTCCCTGTTAGTCTCCTCAATGGCATTAGAAGGTTCTTTGAAGGTGTGTGAGGTGAGGAGCTATGTCCCAATGAAGTGGTAAACATCTGCTGGATGCTAGCTTTGTCTTACACAACTCAGACTTTAGACCCAACTGTGGTGATGCAAACAGAAGGAACCACTGCATGATGGCTGGGGCTGCACGAGAGGCCCTGGTTTATTTCCCAGCCCAACCTAAACAGGCCAGGCCTGGTGATGTGCACCTTTGGTCCTGGTTGGCTGGGGCAAAAGGAACATGACATGGCGAACCTCTTATTAAAAAAAATACTCTCTCATAAACCTAAACTTGTTTTTGTCTTCACCCCAATCACACAAGGCCAACGGGCATGTGCTTGCTGGACAGCCAACACCTGGCACAGAGTGCCTCTGAGCAGTCTGCCTTCTACCCTCCTGACCAGCCTGGCCCAGTCCATGGGGAGGCTCGAGGAGGATATGAAATGGGTTGGAAGAACGTTTGGGTGTGGTGGATGTACTGCAGGCTGCTTGGCGATCACCTCATCCCAGTGGTGCCTGCTCTATGCTTTCAGTGCAGAATCCAGATGGCTACTACTTGGTTCTGACCTAGGCCCAGGAGGGCTCTGCTGAAAAGAACACGGACACCAGCCTGTTTCTGTGCTCGCCAGGACCTTATGAACACCCTCAGCTGACTCACTGGGTTCCAGCTGAAGAACCAAACCATCCTGTGTCTCACCCCTGGGGAGGAAGCAAGGACACTCCAGTCTCATTTTTCTCTCTGCCCAGCAGCAATGGCTGTTAGAGGCCTGGAAACAGCTTCCTCTGCCCACTCTTTTAGTTAGCCAAGCCTGAGGCAAACCCCCTCAAAACAACTGGACTATGGATAAACTTTTGCCACAAGCAGGGGTGGCTGCTAAATGCTGTTATTAATTCACGTTTAAATTTTACTCACCTTCCCTTTTTAAAAAACATTTAAATTAAAGGTTAATTTTAAAAAGGTGTATTATATATATTTGTGTATAATATATATTGCATATATATATATTTAATGTACATTCAATGTTCAATTTTCTTTTTTTAAATAAAGTTTTGCTATAGGGCACGTGTGCTTGCTGGAGACATAGCTAGAAAGCAAGAAATCACCCCCCAGGGAAGATGGCCATGCTGCGATCCCTTCTCCTCCATTCTCCTTTTGGGATTTTGGGCATGCACGCACATGCACCTGGTATAAGTTTTATTTATTAAGTATTCATTCATTTTAATTTGACCAGAGAGACACAGAGAGAAAGAGAGAGGGAAGGAAAGTGAGAAAGTAAGTCACCAGATTTGGGACTCGAACCGTGGTCAGCCATATGGGAGTGTCCAGCACCTTAACCATCAAGCCACTTGCTAATCCCCGTAAGTTTTAAGCTGCTAAGTCTGGGACTCGAACCACAGTTGATTATGTGGTAGTCCAGCACGGTAACCATTATACCATCTGCTGGTGCCCAATGTTCTTGGTATTATGGTTCCCAAGGGAAAATGCTCTCTCCTTAATCTATAAACTAGGGCAAACAACAGGGCCTAGGACCAGGAAATAAATAACCCTGGCTAGATTTTATTTTCAATTAGTTTGGGCAAATACTAATTACAGTAAAGCTATAAGACTATCAATGTTCAAATTATTGTGCCTATTTAAAACTTTAGTTTTGGGCCAGCCAGGGGTGGTAGTGGCTAAGGCATCTGGATCCCACATGGCCAACTGCAGTTTGAATCCTGGACTCAAGAAGCTTGAAAAACACAATGTGGGGGGGCTGGCAGATGGCATGGTAGTTAGGGGCAATAGACTCCCACATGGCCGACCAGGATTCGAGTCCCGGATCTAGTGGCTTGCTTTTCACTTATTTTCTCTCTCTCTCTCTCTCTGTCCTTCACTGGTCAAATCGGAATGAGTAAAGCCATAAAGTTAAAGTAATTTAAAAAAAAAGAACAACACAATGGGTTGGGACCAGCAGATGGCATCATGCTTACCTTGCTGGACTCCCACATGGCTGACTGTGGTTTGAGTCCTGGACCTGTAGCTTAAAACTCACGCTAAATGCATGCGTTTGTGTGCATACCCAAAATCCCGAGAGGAAAATGAAGGGGATGACGTGGCCACCACCCTGCCAGGGGATGATTTCTTGCTTTCTATCTCTCTGGTGAGTACATGCACCCTATAACAAAAATCTCTTTTGGGACCAGTGGTAGGCATAATGGTTATGTTGATGGATTCACATGTAGTCAGCTGTGGTTCGAGTCCTGGACCGGGAGGCTTAAACTCACGCCAGGCACATATGTGTGTGTGTGCCCAAGATCAGAGAGGAAAATAGAGAAGTGATTGTGGCATGGCCATCCCCCTAGGAGTGATTTCTTGCTTTCCGTCTCTCTTTCTGATGAGCACATGTGCCCTACAGCACAAACCTCTCAAAAAAAAAAAAAAAACTCTCTCTAAAAAGAAATACACTATCAGTGTGTGTGCATGTGCACCCAAATTAGCAAAAAGAGAATGAAGGGAAAGGGAATGTGGCATGGCCAGTCCCTGGGGTGTAGGGGGTGCTTTCTCACTTTCCCCTCTCTGTCTCTAATAAGCACACACACCTTATGACATTTTTCTTGGGAAAAAAACTTTAGTTTTATTAGAGGTTTTCGAGAATATCTCCTAGCACCTGTGGCTTTGAAGTTTTTTCAATTTAAAAAATACAGCTCAGGGCCATGTGGCACGGTGGTTAAGGTGGCGGGATCCTACACTACTGACTGCACTGTTCAAGTCACAGACCCAGAAGCCTGAAAAACACACTGGGCTTATGTGCAGGCATGCCCAAAATCCCAAGAGCAGAACGCAAGAAAAGGAACTGCAGTGTGGCAATTTCCCCCATGGGGTGGTTTCTCACTTTCTCTCTCTCTAGCGAGCACACACACATCCTATAGCAAACTAAAAGACAAACAAAAACATGTAACTGAATTTATTAATGTCTTTCCTCCCCCCAGTTCCTAACAAATCTTTCCTGGGCCAGCCCCATGGCTTGTTGGTTAAGGGAGCTGGATTCCACACAGTCAACCATTCAGTTTGAGTCTGGCCTCCAGTTGCTTGGAAACAAAACAAAACAAAACAGAAACAACCAAACACCAAATGCACGTGTATGCACTCAAAAGTTCAACAGTATAGAGAAATGGAGGAGAAAGAATTGGTGTGACCACGGTACTTTTCCCCTTTCCCTCTCTGTGGTGAATACAACATGCCCTTTGGCAAGTTAAAAACAATCCAAAAAGTCCTAATATCTCCACACATGAAACCTTGCCTGGTGTTATTTGATTTTTTTTGAGAGATTTTTGCTATAGGGTGTGTGCTCTCGCCAGAGAGAGACAGACAGAAAGCGAGAAATCAGCCCCCAAGAGGGATGGTGACACCATAATCCTTTCTCCATTCTCCTCTTGGGATCTTGGGCACACACGCACACATCCTCAGTGTGTTTTAAGTCACCAGGCCCAGGACTTGAACCGTGGTCAACTACATGGGAGTCCAGCAATATAACTATTATGCCATCTGCTGGTCCTAATTGGTGTTTTTCAAGCTGCCCATGCTGGGATTTGAACCACAGTAGGCCATGTGGGATCTGACTCTCTTAACCACTAAGCTATGGGGCCAGCCCTTAAATTTTAAAATTTCTTCAATGAACAAGAAAGACACAGAAGGGTCAGTGGATTTTGTAGTGGTTAAGGCACTGGACTCCCACATGGTCAACCGTGATTCAAGCTCCAGACCCAGCAGCTCGAAAATCATGCTTGGGCGCATGTGCTTGCATGCCCAAAATCTCAAGAAGAATGGAAAAGAGATTGCAGCATGGCCATTCCCTCTAGGGGGTGATTTCTTACCCCCTACCCCCAACTGTCTGTCTCTGTTAGTGCACATGCCCTATGGCAATAACCTAAGGGGAGGCGGGGAGACAAAAGAAGAGAAACACAGACAACACTCCCAGCAGAATCTTGAAACTGCAGCACAGTCCCCAGATTTTGCCAGTCCTGGATGTGGGCAACTGTGTGCCCCGCGAATTCAGAGAAGTCTCTGAACTTTAACAAAGAATCCTCCTATGTGGGACTGTCTCACAGAATGTTGCATTTTACTACTGTGTCACTGGACCCCATGATTTTTTTTTTAACTTTTTTTTTTTAAGAATTCTTTTAACTTTATTTTTAATTTGATCAGAGAGGAACAGAGCAAGAGAGAGAGAGAGAAAGTGAGAAAGCAAACCGCCAGGTCCAGGACTCTACCGTGGCTAGCCATGTGGGAGTCCAGCATACTTAACCGCCAAACCACCTGCTGGCCCGCAACTCCATGATTTTATTATTTTTTTTAAAGTTTATTTCAGGAGATAGACAGGTACCCAACAAGATTCCTACACCACATCCACCCCAGCCTCAGGGTAGCATGTACCACGGGCATATGTGTACACGGCCCTGGGCTGTAATCTTAATGTTTTTTCTCATCTCCTTTCTCTACAAGTTTTATTATGAAAATGCTCAAAAATAAAAATCCTCAAAAATAAAGTGAAAATCCATATGCACACAGAAGATGTGCACAACTATTGAAAGTACTGTGTACTTGGGCTGTTAGTGGCACAGTGGTGAGACTCTGCTCAGGTGAAGCTGGACCTGTATGGAAGACCATCAGTTCAGTTCTCTTCCTACTCAGCCGGATCACAGTGGGATCATAGCGGGAGACCTTTGTCTTTCCTCCTCTTACGAGATAGGGCCGCCAGGTGGCATGGTGGTTAGGGGTGCTGGACTCCCACATGTCTGACCATGGTTCATGTCCCCGACCTTCTTGCTTTCTCTCTGTGTGTGTGTGTGTGTTTTGTTTTCATCACCCCCCCCCCCCGATTGGCCCCATCTGGACAAATTAAAATAATAAAAAAAAACAAACAATTCTTTACAAAAGATTAATACTTGTATATTTACAGATCACATACCTCGGTTATTAATTACTGATTATCTCTGGTGAGTCTTAAACCAACTGGTCTTTGGCTAGGGAGGACAGGGAGAAAGGAAGTTTCTAAATTCTGGTTGAATTGAGTAACAATAGATTGAGGAAAGGCTCAAAGACCTAGAAAGTGCCTCAACGGCCCAATTAACATGGACAGCTGAGCAGACACCCATTTGCATTTCTGGATGGCAAATCCAGACCAGGCCTTTACCTTACAGAGGTTAATGAATGGATGCCTAAGGGTGTTTCATTGCAGTGTAGATAATATGATTTTTTAAAAGCTTTTTGTTTTTGTTTTGCTATTAGGATACATGTGCTCACTAGAGCAACAGAAAGTGAGAAATCACCCCCAGGGGGTATGGCCATACAGCAACCCCTTCTCTTCCATTCTCCTCTCAAGATCCTGGGCATGCACACATAGGTACCTAGCGTGAGTTTTAAGCCACTGGGTCCAGGACTTGAACTGTGGTTAGCCACATAGAAATCCAGCGACATAACCATTATGCCATCTCTTGGTCCCAATAATATGATTTTTAAAATTAATTTGCCATAGGGTACATAAACTCACCAGGTAGAGACAGAGAAAAAGGGAGAGGGAGAACAGCACCCCTAAATTGGGTGTGATCAGTCATGTGGGATCTGGCACCCTTAAACACTGGGCTGGGCCAGGTAACATGAGATTTAAATACTGGTTACCAAATTGGCTCTACTGCTTTCCAAAAGGACAGGGTCTCTGTTGCATTTACTTCTGTGTTCTCTCTCAGCCTTAGCCGCTAGTATAGACTAGACATTGAAATATTTGTTGAGATGAAAGAAATAACAACACGAGA